CACCCACACACAAATATCTCAAAGCGCACAGCGTGCGCGCGCGCGCGCGCACGCGCACACACACACACACACACACACACACACACACACACACACCAAGAATGGTATGTCTGGCATTAATACGTAGAATAAAGTAGGCAAAATATTTAAACTATGCTAATACTTAAAAGTTAAAGGAGCTCTTCACTTCCTTCCTCTCTATTGTCTAAAATTTTAACTATTTTAGTAAGCACTAAAGTCAACTGACAGTGCCAAGACTTACATTACTTTTCAAACAGGTCCAAACAGTTCAAATGGTTGGGTTAAAAAGGGGGAAAGAAAGGCAAATAAACACTGGAAATTAGTCATATGCTGACATCTATACGTTACAAGAATGACTCAGCGAACCATTTAATGTGAATTTCAACAGCTTTTAATCAGTTTCTTATGAAAATCCAATTTGATTTGGGCTTTCAAATGACTTTTTCAATCATTGCCACAGTTCCAAGAATACTAAAAAGAATAATTCGTTCTTAGTACAAAAGATTTGCCTATATTAACCCAGATATCCACGGCAGCACTTGCTTTTCTATCAAAATAAGAAAATATTAGCAGCTAAAAATATAAGTATGTGCAAAGGTTCTAAAAAGTATTACCCTGGAACAATGACAATAGATGGGATTTCTCTTTGTCAGAGGAAAAAGAAGAGACAGAAACTTTAGTAGTCTTCTCACATCTCCCAAAGATTTGAGTCACAGGGTTTATTTGTGCTGATAACCAGTTATCTACTGCTTGAAACCTAAGCAGAATGCATCAGCATTTCAGAACTACCTAGGGCCAAGGGGTGGGGTATACTAGGAGATTTCCAGATTAATTGTAAGACAATTCATTGATATTTACATAACGAGAATAAATGTTTTTCCTGACAGAATTTCCCTTCAGTGCCTTGAGACCACCAGCAAAAGAGGAAGATACAGAAATTCTATTATATTAATAGTCCCTGTTTCTATGGTTCTGGCATTTATTAACTGGTGGAAACTGTTTATTGGGTCATAAACTTTACTAATGGGGATATTATCTCTAAATTATAAATCTCCTTCAGTATATGGCTTAGTTATAAAAAGAATAATTATTTAAAGTGTCTTTATGGCTGCAATGTATCATGTTTATTAGCATGATTCCTTATAATGGCCATTTAATTGCTAATTATGGGCCTTAACTTCATATAACCAGGGCAATGACACACATCTACACAATAGAATGAGCAGTTGTCATCCTACAAACCCAGAAGCATATCATTAGTTTGCTTCCTTCCCTTTTCTCCTCCTACTTCTCATCAAATGAATTATATTACAGGCCTATACAGGGCCTGAATTATCTACATATTTAAAATCTTGAGGGAAAGACAACTGACTGAGAGTTGAATAGGTAACAAATATGTCAGCCTGAAAAGTTCCAGGAAAGTGTCATCCTTCTAAAAGCTTGCTCTCTGGGGAATGGAAATCTTAAAGTGACAAAGTGGCTTGGCACTGTCAGTTGTCTTTAAAAAAAAAACAAACCTGGGACTAAAATCGAATAGTCAAAAATTAGATTTTATGAGTAAATGGTTTTAGTATACAAATTGGGTTTTTAATTTATTAAAAAGTTCTATGGGGTCTATTCTAACAATGGCACATGTAGAATTATCCTAGGTTTCTATATAGAAACAGCTTATTAACTTCAACTTTTAAAAATAAAGAGCCATTGTTCTTGAGCAGATTGGTACATCTGAGTACCAAGAAGCCAGCTCATTTCTAGGCAAGACACCACAAATGTGGAATGAAAACATAATGAGAGAGAAGGGCCCTTAAGGTGTCATCAATTCCTCTTCCTTTCCTCAGCGCAGTTCCCGAAAGTTAAATGTTGAAGTCTCTTCTCCATAGGCTTCTACTGTCTGAGAACACCAAGCAACTGGACTTATGATACACAGCACCTAAGACTGAAGAATGGGGTAAATTGAGACAAACTTCTCACTATGAATTCCAAGAAGTCCATGTTTATGAGTGGTAACCAAATATATGCTACATGACAAAAGTTATGCTGAGATACAATGTATAGGACTAGAAGAAAAATAAAAATATAACTAGAGAAATGTAGGAGAGAAATGTTGTAGTCTTAGAATATTTAAACTTCTGAGGTGGGTGATACATGTGTGTGGAGAGTGAACCAAAAAGATCTCTCAAAATCTTCAGCAATCACAACCCTAAATATTTTAGACATAATAAATTTTTAGTCATACTAAAATTATATACATATGCATATATTCCTAAATTAACAAGCTAACTTTAGATATAAAAATGGCATTAAAATGTAAACACTGCATATATTTTAATTTCTCTCCCAAATGTTTACACGTGTAAGTGTGTGTTGCAGGGATGGGGGAGTCCTTTTCTTCTTATAGATTTGCTAATTTCAGAAAATAAGTATCTTCACTCCAGAGAGGTTTAAGGATTATTTTGACAAGATGGGTGCTACAAAGTTTAATTATATAACTAACAAATGTGTCAAAAAGATTTCAAAAAATGTTTAATAGAATCATAACTTATTGCGCTGATATCATTTGATTTTATAGTGTCATGTATAGCTATCAAAAGTCATTTTATTTTTCTGTTGTAAAAAATCAAATTATGTTGGTTACAAAATTACCACTAGATTCTTTGGTATTAATAAATCATAAATATAATAAAAATGTTCGATGTTCCCTTAAACGACATTTTTAATAGTGCTGGTACATCAGCAATATAATGTGATGATAATGTGATGTGCTGAAAAACTAAATTGACAAAAGGAGATTAATTGTAGTCTACGGATTTCAATTCAATATGAACCATGCTTTTTTTTGTTTTTAATGAAATTATATCTACTGAAATAAACTTGGCAAAATTAGAGCAGGAAATCAAAGGGAGATGAGCAAAACTGGCATGGTTACTCCTCCTCTAAGCCATACACGTCCTTTAAAAATTGAAAATAGTTAATGTATTTCGTAGGAATAGGTGATGGCATCCCGAGCCACATATCTTCACATCTCTAGAAGGAAAAAAAAAGTTGGATATAATTAGAACCACATTTCAAAGTGTAGTTTTGTAAATGTAACAATTTTTTTTTGTCATTATATAAGCTCTTGGCAAATAGTTTATTTTCGAAGCAGAAATGTCTACTGTCCACTTTTCAATCACGAGGACTTTGTGGTAGACTGGATTCTTATGCTTAATTCTTCATCCCTCCCTGTATTAGAATTATACACCCATGTTCTTTGAGATGGGAGTTTGCAGTGCCTTCCACAGAGTTGATTTTCCTGTCCTTTTAATATGACTGGCTTTGGCCTATGTAATGTTAGCAGACGTAGTACAAACAGAGGTTCTAATGTGCTGGCATGATTTGGCTTGGCCTTCTGTGCCTCTGCCATTGCCATGAGAACATGGCCCAAGATGCTACTGGTCAGAATGCCAGGTAGAGCAAGCTGAGATAGAGCCAAACCCAGCTGACCTCGAAGCCCATGGACAAGAAAAATTAATGTCTGTTGTTACGAACCACTGAAATTTGGGGAGAGGGGTTTGTTTATGCAGCATTATTGTAGTGATAGATCCTTCTATACTTTATTAAGAATTCATTTAAAAAAAAAAACCCAAACTGCTAGCTATACTGGTTGCTTGGTTACTGTTTCTTCAATCTAACAATGGAAAGAACACTGGCTCATTCACAGCATGCTCTTGGGGATAAGCGACTTTATGTAACACTATACATATACATATATACACGCACATATATATATACACATGTATAAATATATATACACATACTTTATATATTATATATGTGATGCATATATGTATATATATTTGCTAATTGCAGAAATAAATACCTTCACTCTGGAGTAGTTTAAGAATTATTTTGATGAGGTAGATTGCAAAAACTTATATTAAAAATTATATAAGTAACAAACATGTGTCAAATAGATTTCAAAAAGTCTTGTATACATAAATCTATACACATGCAAATATGTACATGCACACTTCTTGTTTATGCTGCAATAGTCGATTAACATCAACATAGGGAAAATCCGTAACTGTGGCTTCTTATATTTCTATTGTCAAGATTGTTTTATAAGAGGTGCTATATATTTAATGCTAAATTAGTATCCAGAGTCACAAGGTATCACAGAAACACAGGTAAGAGCTCAATAATTCTATGTGATAGAATTGTGGAAGCAACCCAAATTAAGTGATATTTCATTTGGGCCTTATGGGATGAGGAGCAGTTCAGTAGGAGAGTAAAGTGATGTAGGGTGTTCCAGGCATGAGGAACAGCATAAGCAAAGGCCTAAAGACCTAAAAGTATCTTTTCAAGAAAGGGTGAGTAGTCCAGTGTGGTTTGGGGCACATAGTACAAAGCAGCAAGAAAGGTGGTTAGAAGGAAAAGATGGGACCAAACTTGGGGGCTTCTGTGCTAGTTTATACTTTATGTTGTGGTTAGGGAAAGTCAGTGGTGGGTCTCAGCCAGAAAAATCTGATCAGAAATTAAATAACTCATTGGATGTACGAAGAATGAAATGAAGGAGGAAAATCACTTTGGAGTTTACTACAATAATCCTGGGAAAGAACTGACTGTGCCATAACCAGGGCAACTGAAGTTGGGATGAATAAGAGCCACATCTGAAAGATTTTGCTGCAGTAGAACATACAATACCTGGAAAGTGTCTGGTTTGAAGTGGTCATAAAAGAAAGGGGTAGTGTTATGGGTTGAATTGTGTCCTCTCAAAAAGATATGTTGAAGTTCTATTATTGCATAACCTCCAAGTTTCTAGTTTCTAGTTTCTAGTTCAGTGAACATATGGAGGTGCAGGGAATGTGACCTTCCTGGAGAGGACGTGGAAGTTCCTCACCTTTTCCCCATACCTTGCCCTATGCATCTCTTCCATTTGGCTGTTCCTGAGTTATATCCTTTTACAATAAATCAGTAACCTAGTAAGTAAAATGTTTTTATGAATTCTGTGAGCTGCTCTAGCAAATTAGTCAAACTCAAGGAGGGGGTCATGGGAACCTCCAATCTACAGCCAGTGGTCAGAAGTATAGGTGGACAACCTGGACATGAGAATGGTGTCTGAATCAGGGAGGTAGTCTTGTAGGATTGTACCCTTAACCTGTGGGATTTGAGGCTATCTCCACATAGATAGTGTCAGTATTGAGTTGAATTATAGGACATCCAGCTGGTGTCCAGAATTACTTGATGTGAGGGAAAACCTTACACATTTTAACTGGTACCAGAATTGTAGCCAACTCTCAATTTTTGGGAGATTTTCACAAGTACTAGTTTAAATGAACTAATAGGAATTAAAGTGGAATCCAAAGGAGGGTAGAAAGCAAGAGATAAGACTTAAGAAACTCAGTGAAGGGAGGGGCATCAATAAAGTAGAGATAAAGATATCTTCTTCATAATTTTTGCCTGTGATTGGGTCCATCTAAAAGAATCACATGGCCAATCTCTTTGTTGACATGAGAAATTCCCATACTACCACTGCCTAATTGTTCAAATGTTCTAAACATTACAGAATATTTATGACAACCTGGGCAGTGAGTTAAAATATTCTTTGTCTTCACTGACCTTTGTTTATCCTACACTACAAAATGTGAAGACAACTCCAGATTATATTGTCGTCAGCACACATAAATTTTAAGTGGAAATAACGCATCACAATTTTACAACAGGAGAGGTCATCCACAGCAGTCCACCACTTCCCTATTCCCGATGAGGATGAGCCTACTTATGTTTCTATAAAACAGCCGCCTTGATGGTACATGTTGGAATCTTAAACATCTTTGTGTAGCAGGCTCTGCCAGTGCCCTTTCTGATTCCCTCACCCTTTCCTCTTGGCACACACCAGCCTGATTTCCAACTGCCAGCACCTGCGTTGCTTTGCCTAAGAGCTTTTCTTTCACCTCCGAGGCCTGCTTTGGCTGCCCCTGTGATATACCACAAGTGCCTTGGAATAAATTATTTCTCCCCATTTCAAGAACAGCCTTCAAACAGTGACTGGTGGGAGTTGATGGATGAATACCACAGCTCATTTGCACTTTGGGTGGGATAACTCTGAGGTACATGCTAGGCAGTGAATCCTTGTGTTTCTCAGTCATCCACACTAGTTACCGGTTTGATAATATGCCCTGTATAAGCTCCTTTTCTTCCATTTCCTACTTCTTCACACCCTTACTAGTGCTTCTTTCACTTCCCCTCAAAAAACTATTTATACTCAGATCCTTTTCTCCAAGTTGGCTTCTAAAGGAAGCCAAAGATACTATGTAATTTTGCATTTATCAAAACTAATAAAAGGTCTGTGAAAGTCACAGCACAGCTTGAAACAAAGCAATTTCCTGACAAATTGTAGATGGATCCATGTGACTTCCATATAACTCAAGAGACAATGTGTAAATTAAAAAAAAAAAATCAATTTAATCTGGATCATAAACAATATGTGCCACATAGCATTTTCTGGAAGAAAGAAGAACTATGAAATGGAGAGTGAAATTCAACAATGATGCAAAATCATGACTCTAAAATGGCTAAGAATCATTGTCTACAAGAGAGCCCATGACATCTTCCAAGCTGGCTCTCACTAGAGCTACTTAAGATGTCAAGCAAGTTGGCAATAAATTACTTGTTCATCAATGGTGACAAAATGTAGCTGCCGATCTGTAGAATCATACACCCTTGAAAGAGGAAGCAAAGATGGCATTGGATAGATGAAAACCCAGTAAATAACAGCTGTCCAGTGAGAATAGCAAAGCTGTGTGTGAGCTCATGGGCTCTGGATTTATTTGCTTTGACATTTTTAAAAGGAAATTTAATTGGATTATGTCTCCTCCTAGTTTAAAATTTTCTACTGCAGTACTGGCCACCAGATGCATGAGGGAAAAAGATTAGGAGCCAATTAAATTCCACACTTCATTGAAACAAGATTATTTTTATTCCTCTCAAATATAAGGCTGATAAGAGTCATTTTAGTGATTTCACCCTGCTACTTCCTTCCACTAATTCAAAAAAGGACATTTCTACAGGAAATATCTGTGAATTTACAGAAAACTCTAGTAGTGTGTATGGAATTGAAATTGTGGTTTTATTGAACTTTCTTCCTTATAATAGGTTAACATTACCTTAGAAATAATCAAATTGAAAAAAATCATAAAACCAGTTAAATTTTAATGAATTAAATTAAAATTAATCTTGGGAAGAAATTTCACAAAGACTTGTTGAGATAATCAAGAGCATTCTGATGACATAAGAAAAGCTCATATGTAAAGCAAAGAGATTTGCTTATATTCTTATCCATTTATGTCTTTACTGTAATAACAATATTTCACATTTGCTTTCCTTTGCCCCAGATCAAGCTTCAATAGAGTTTCCATCTGCGTGAGTATAGCTAAAACACAGGTATAGCTTCTAAACAAGAAATATTTTCTTAGAACTGCATTACAACACAGAACAAAACAAACAAAGACTGCATTACAGGGCAAGTAAAGTTTTCAAGACATGGGGTTTTTTTTGTTTCAGTGATACACTTATGCATACAATTCAAGTAGCATCATCCAATCTTTTAAATCAAAGTAGATTTCAGCAGTATTGTTTCCTACCAGGTTATTGCTTTGTGTTAAGTAATTGGTATGTATTAACCAGTTATTTTTTAAATCTAGTGAGAATGATTAATAATATTTTATTTTAAATATTAAATTTAACCTCAAATATTAGAAATAACTGTTTATTAAAGTGTTGGCACCAGCCCCTAATTATATAATCCTTACCTTTAGGAATACCTTTGAGTCTTAGCTTCCTATCTATAAATTGGGAATGACATTCTCACAAGGTTGTTAGGACAATAAAATGTCGCAGATATTCTATCCTCTAAATACCAAAAGGAGATCCTCAACAAGTGGGGTGCCCAAAGATGTATCCCAAAGGGCACCCAACTGACCCCTTCTCCCCACTGTCAAGGCTATATATCATCCTGTTGTAACAGGGGAGATTTAGAGCCAATT